AAAAAAAGATTGTGCGAAACGTGCGGAGCAAAGGGAGGCGGAAGAAGGAACGGTTAATTTGTTGTGCATCAGCAGCACCGGCAGCTACGAAGACAAGCTACAGAGAGAGAGGTACTGGGGCCATACTAAGAAAATAACTAGAGATAATTACGCGCATAAATCAGAGTGTTAATATTCGGGGGCGTAGGTAGGAGGCGCAGGTAGATATATTCGCCTATAGGTAGGCAAGACTCGTGGATATATACGAGAGGAAAAAAAAGGGGGGAAGAGAGGTCGGACGAGAGGAGACAGTGAGAGACGGAGAGGGTAAGAGTGGAATAATGCCAACTTCGGATCGGTAGATCATTCGTGGCCGTTGGATACGCCTCCTTGTTAGCCTGGGTTTACTTAGTCCTTCGACGCTCCTACGACGTGCGTTACGCCCGCTAATAGCCCACCGGTAACGAACTACCGTCGACCTTTTTTGAGGACCTTTTAAGCGAAAACGCGTTTCTCTCCTCTCGCGCTGCCTCTTATCGATCATGGCCGTCATTGCGAGAAAGGATCGCCCCGTGGAGTCGCCTCTGAAAGCGAATTCCTTCTCACGTTTGCCGCGCTGCCCCAACGAAAGGATATGCGCCACTTAAAGAGCAGTCCTCAGGGCGATATTCGTAATTTATCGGTCGCAAATGGAAGGACTTCGCGCTGGTAATTCGCTCAGGTAGTCCATACGCGCGAATTATTTCCAGCTGTCGTCGTGATTCCCGTGCATAATCGCTTGTCGCTCGACATTCTCGACATGTTCGTGCGGTATCGAAATTTTTCTCGACCGATGAGGGATATACAACAGTGGCGAAGCAAAACAAAACAGGGGGAAAAAAAAGGAGAAAGGGTGCACAGTGGCGTTGAAACACTCATAACAGGTGGACCGATACTCGGCACGAAGATACATCTTCGAGGTGGGCGGTCCCACACTCCTTAAATCAGCCCGCAGCCACCATAACATTAAGCCCACCTCCTCTCTCACGGCACGTCTCATCTCCCGCCGTTTATTTGTTTGCTTAGAGCGAGTAATTAGAATCCGATACAAATGGTTATTATTTATCGGCACAGAGAGGCGAGCAGAATCGAGAGCCCCGGTACGAATGCACAGAACGGACGGACGAGGTATACCTCCTGATTGCCTGGCGTTATTAAACCGGGAGATACTACGAGATAAATACACGGAGGCCAAACACCGGCCACTATATAACGTTACCGGCGATCCTTACTAACAGCTTTCATTCGCGAGCGACGCAGAACTCAATTATTATAGTGATGTCCTCCGCAAACGCGCTATTAATAATTCGTTACGTTTTATAAATGTCTAACACTATTTCATAAAATTGGAATACTTCTTCAACTTTATTTAACTTATTGCTATTTTTAGATATTTAAAATTAATCTTTCAAAAAAAAAAGTACAAGATAAGGTAAATACAAGTTATCTCAAACATTATCGATGATAGTTGCAGCTGTCGAAGCATAGAAGCGGGTTCATGGAAATAAATGTAATGAGGTTCCTGATCGAACAGGGACCAACCGCGCGTCACGTCAGACCGATATACCCGTCCTGCATTTCCGAGGAACACACTGCGCGACTCACAGAGGCGAATCTATCGCGATGCCAGACGCGTCCGTTAATAAAATATAATGGGCACACAATGCCTCTCTCCCTCGATGACGACGATATACACCTGATCCACAGAATACAATGGCCGTCTACATCGTTTGGGCGCGATTCACGTAAGTGTGTATGGACAGACCTCTCTAATGGCTTTTGTGTAAGAAAAAGAAGATACATGCTGTGTCTATCATAGTAAATCGTAGATAACAATGAAAGATATAAGATACGAATATTTACTCTCTGTTCTCCTTTATTTCAAAACACAAAAATTCGTAAATATCTAATGTCCATTTCCAATGATTAATAACTTTAATGCAACTTACTCTTTATCTCTCCCTCTAGTTCTAAGAATTAAAAAAAGATGAAGAGAAAATTGAACTGAGATTAAAGTCAATCTACGTTGGTAGAAGCGAATATAAGTCTTATCAATTGTTACAGTTGGAATTTCTCTTCGGGATTACAATTATCAAACGCTATTAATTGTTCATTACACCAAAATTCTAGCGGATGAAATCGTTAGTCGAATATCGAATAATCATCCGATTTATTTATTCCAACGAAGGCTCCATAGGGGATGGAGATACGCCGGGGGTAACGTTGATTAGCTCCGCTGTTGATTTAATTACCGGGAGAGTAATTGGCATGCCTACTGACGATCCCCTTCCCTTTCCCTCTCAACACAGACACTCCCTGTCGCTTACTTCACTCGCTCTCCAGCACCCTATCGCCTCACACCCTCTCCCAAACTGTTGCATATTCATCGATGATAGATTATTGTATGTCTACGTGTCAAAGACTCGCAACCAGAAACAATTGATCTTGGACAATACCCACTCAATACACATAACATATTTAGATTAAAATTTATGTGATCAACGTGATAATTGACAAACGTTCGCTTTATGTTGATCAAAATCGATCATAAGTCTTCTCAAAATTAAAAAAATTACCGATGCTCGAGTTTGTTTTTTTTTTTGCTTCTCGCTTTTCAACTATCGTAAATTGGTTCGTTCGCCTGGTTTATCGTACGTGTTTCGTGGAGAATATACGCAAATGGAAAAAAAAAACAGCCAGAAAAACAAACAACGACAGAGCAGTTCGTTGCCAATTTCCGCGAGTCCGAGACACGTCGTAAAAAGGGCACCGCGGACGGTTAGGTTCGTACGGTAGCGGTTATAGGCGAACGTATATCGCGGCGATGTTATCCGCAAACACGCGGGTTCGACCAATTTATCCCAAGGGATGAGGCAGACGTGGCACGGCGGTGGTGGGTGTGGGGCAACCTTGTCCAGCGGAATGAATTCAGCACGCAGCCCCTGTGCGGTCGAGCTACCTCTACCCCTTTCGCCAACCATCTCCAACCACCGTGCAACGTCCCCACCTTTCGACCATTTCACCCTCTCATCCGTCCCTTCCTCTTTTTCGTTCATCCGATAGCGCGCGCGCGCGCACGTGTTAAGGTAGCTTCAGAATGTCCAAATAGAGAACCGATAGAAACGAGTAATAAAGGAAACAACATAGTTATGAGTTTTAATACAGGATTATTGAAGTAAATCATTAAATCAATAATTAAAGTTGTAAAGCACTAAAATTTAATTCCCGATTAATTCTTGAAAATATTGTTTTATTAATTTTTATCATATATCAGAAGATCGTAGTTAATTATCAATAACGTAGAATATATTTTATCAGCTACATGTTCCTTAGACTATTTTAATGTCAGCAGTAACTCCACTGAAGAAGCAACTCTATGTTACATCCGTGGCGGTCAAACCACTTGACAGGCGACGATTTATAATCGATACAAGTGGTGTGAATAGCCCTTAACCTGCTACCATCCGCCACTCCTGATCCGCTCCACATATCGCTAGCATGGTATACAACAACCGCCTGATTGCCACGGGGGTTCTTAGATTTATTGACCTGTCAATGGCGGCGCGCGAAAATGGCGAATTTACAACGCCGCAGGTGTTAAGTTCTGCCGTGCGTGTAATAACGGCCTGATCCCCAGGCCTACGGTAAGCCACACCGTAATTATATTTCCGAACCTCCCGCTCGCTACCTTTGTCATTATCACCCGAAGTGGCGTAGCCGTAATTCAATGAGATCCATCGCACGATCGTACGTGTATACGTGAACGATAAAGGTCCAACGCGCGAATCTAGGAAATTTTAGCATGTAACACAGCCACCACAATGTGTGTGCATCAGGATTGGGAAATTTAGCGATACGAAAGGTTTCTTACATTTCCTACGTATAAAATGTATTATAAAATTCTAAAACCCACTTCAAATGAAATACAACACAGAGTGTAATACATGAGTATTGCATAATTAAACTGCTAAATCAGTTAATATTCACCTTAAAAAATTGCCTTTTTTATTTATAGACCTTATTAGTAGATGCTGCGGCCTTTATAGTGGTATATGGTATACCATGCATGATTTCATTATTTCATGTGCAATAGCTACGACAGGCAGCTTTAAATTCATGAAAATAATAAGCGTTCAAACTCTAAAGTATTATTTATTGAAAGTGTATCAAAAATAATATAAATAAAATAAGTAAATTAAATTGTAAACCTACGATGTATTATATACAGTTTCATCCATGTATGATGAAACCATGTATAATACGTTTGATACATACTCATACCTGGTATGCATGTATGTATGTATGTATGTTATTACGTGCACTGCGAGTCTTATTTACATTCTTTATATACAATGTTCCGACATTGCTACGTTTATTTTCTGTGTATACACTGGAAAGAATCTTACATTGATTGAAAATGGGTAAATTAGAATTTTTTAGTTGAATCTACTAAAATTTTAATTGAAATAACCAGAACTGACTCTGAATTTTTTGTTTCATTCATTTTTTACCCAACATTTTCCTCAGTGAAGATATTACAGTTCCAAACTTACAAAGTTGCTAAACAAACTTGCAAAATTAACGCAAATTCTGAAGAAGACAGTACAGTAATTCTGAAACTTATACTTATGCGTAAAACGCAAAAACAGCACGCAAAAAAATATTTTGCTGCTTTAACTAGAATTATAACTATTTTTTTTTGTATCTGACAGAAAATTATGTATCTTATGCATAGAATTTATAGCACAAATCTAAATTCTATCTCTGATATCTATATGATTAGATGCAATAGATATCCAATATTGCAGTAGTTGCTAGAAATTTATCTATTTTAGCTATTTTACGTACTTAGATAATTTTCGCTATAATTGCAAGATCACTTTTTTGAGTGAGTGTGAGTTGCGTAGAATGCTAACGATATGATTTATAACTTATAAATCTCGCGCGTGGCAGAATAAAATGATACATGTAATTTATCCTACCTTGAGCCTGGTGAGACGAGGTTCCTCGGCTGCAAGCTTCGCCAGTGCTTGATAGTCCCCCTGCGATGCTCTGACCAGCCACTCTCGCGATTTTCCATCCAGTTGCTTTGGGAAAGCATCGATCGTGGTGATTATTAGCGATTAATGGGTGCGAAGGATCGCCGGGATCGATCAGCAGCACGCGGAAGATCGAGCGGGCCGTTCGATCGAGAGCGGGCGAATTTTAATTAAGATCCCCGGCCACGATCTGGCGTGCATTTATCAGGGACCGACGATGCACGTCCGACCAGGGAAGAGAATTATGGCCCGTGCTGCGTCGCTCTCGTCGGATTGGCGCGCGCAATAATCGCGATCTGCGGTGGGTGATGAACTTACCGAGGCAACGGAAGCGCTGTCATCCTCGTCGGCGCCCTGCGGAGAAAAGAAGAGAGGAAAGAGGGGATTAGAGTTGATCCCTTGAAAAATCAACATTACGCGCTACGTCACGCGGACGCTCACGGAACAAGCAGCGGCAAGTCGCGGCGAAAACCGGTCCGCTGTATGGTGTTGGCGTTGGTGCAAAGAGAAAAAGAGAGAGAGAGAGAGAGAGAAATAGAGAAAGAGAGAGAGAGAGAGAGAGAGAGAGAGAGAGAGAGAGAGAGAGAGAGAGAGAGAGAGAGAGAGAGAGAGAGAGAAAGTACACTCTCGCTATACCGCGTGCGTGCCACGATGGCGAACACACGAAGTGGCATGGAGACGACAAGGGGAAGAAAATGCGTGAGCGCAGCGGGAGGCCACCGAGCACGGGACGCGCGCTTCGGCCATCAGATTGATATACGGATCCAATAATTGATTCTCCGGCGCAAGGCCTTGGGAGGCTGGCTGGGCCGCACGCACTTACGCAACCCCCGACCGTCGCCCGTCCAAGAACAGACGTCCCATTTCGGAAACTGCCGTTCGCCGGACGGACGGCTTGGCAAACGCACGAACGATTCATGATCGCGATTATCGATAGGGCATAAAAGCACTTAAGATATATTTTCGATAAAATTCCTGTCGCGCACGGTGCCTCGTATCGCTTACAAAATTCTGCTTTTAACAGAGAATCCACGTACTGTACTATATGATTATAATTTTATTTGTGCTTTCATATTCATACTCTACCGCCGCGATAAATCTTAATCTTAATAATATCCTTAATAGATCTTGATAACATCCTTAAATCACACATACAAATACGTGAATAAACTTTTTAACGAGAAACTTGTCGTTTAATCGCGCTCGTATACAGCGCCGATCGCCGTGTAGTGTTCCACGTTATACTTACGATGGTATATGCACGTGGTACGGTAGGATGACGCGACGAAGGTGGTGGCGGTGAAGGAGGGAGGAGGTGAGGGTTCTCTCCTGATCTCAGGAACGCTAAACGACTACTCATCCCTGTTAAACTGTTTGTATTTTCACTCGTCACGGCCACGTCGGTTGTTCGAGGTGCTCATATCGACACTCGACCCCGAATCAATCGTGACTCTTCATAAATTACTTCCACAGACCGCGGGAGATGCGCGTTTGCACTTTGGCCGAGTCATCATTAGCCGATCGTGATATATCTTTATCCATCGACAACGCGCGTGTCCTTAAGTGAAATCACGACTCGAAGGATACGCGTCGATAAAAGCAAGACGAATATATCTAACGTTTCAACATTAATCCAATTCTTCCTCTTGTCAAAAAGAAGAATACTCTCGTGTTGCGCGAGAATGTTCTGATTTTGGAGAATCCTCTTCTGGAAAGCTCATCGTCCAGAAATCAGTCTCGGAATGATAACCACTGACCCCCCGTCGCGTCAGGTGGTGCATCGAGGTGCGTTCCCAGCTTTCGTGCACTACGTGTGCTCTCGCAAACACGTTTGTACGCGTGCGAATGCACAGATGCATGCTGATAGGACGGACTTTGTTATATGCATGTATCACAGAGGCCATGCTTCATCGGCGATGCAACAATTGTACTTGCGATAAAAAGACATTATTATGGCGGCGGTAAACGGATGCGACCGAATTAATTTTTAATTTAATTCTTTCAGTTACAAGACACAACTGTCTTATTGTTATTAATAAGACAGTTATACACCTGAATGACGTACGCTTTCTTACTTTTCTTACGCGAAATACATAAGTACATTTAAAAAAAAAAGAGAATCTAACTGTCTCCAATTATTAAAGCAGTATATAAGAATACGTAATAATTCAATTTTCTGGGAAAAATTCTTCCTCATACATTACGAGATTAATATGCAAATTGTCGCAAAATTATGCAAGCAGCGAAGAACAAGAGGACTCATCGGTATTTTATCGAAAAACCAAAGAGATTTCGAAGAGAAAAATTTGGGAGAATTTTGATCTCGATATTGAGAATCACAGACTACTCACGTATAGTATTTTGTTGTTCAAGTCGCGTGCATCGCTGAATGATTTTTAAATGATCGTGCGATACGATCCGACCGATTTTCGGTGAGATTTGGAGGCAAGGGACACTTGTTCTCTCGTATCTCAGACCTGAAAGTATGTAAATATTCTCATCCCTTCATAGCGTGAGATCTCCAGGAACGATCAGACAAACGGACCAGTCAGCGATGGTACAGTCACAACGTTCCATGAGCCATAACGGCGTGGTTATCAGATAAGCTTATAAGACCCGAGTAATCGTAATAGCATCGCAATGGCGATTTCTCTGGCTCCATCGCGGTCGATGAACAAAGATGGGGAAGCGGCGGATGAACGATGAACGAAGACGAGAGAGGAGTCACCCCTCTGTTCCTCATCGGCGAGTCATTGTTCCGTCGTAATTAATATTTTAATTGAGATCAGCGGGAATTAATTAACACAACAGTCTGTTAAGGTCGTTCGCCTAAACCGATCAATCGCGATCGTGAAGCACTTGTCAGGATCAAGATTTAATTCTTCTTCTTATTCGTAATATCTCTATCAGGCGAACAAGACGTTATAAGCTTGATAAAGGTATAATTCATGAAAAGGAAATAATCGTGAGTAAATTGATTACCAACAGCAAATGTTATTTCAAGAAGAAAGCAAGGATCCATTAACTCTACATTACACGAGTGGTTTTTTTATATGTAATTATTCGCGTAGAATTCTGACACCCCAATATTATAACTCAATTTTTATTGATGATTTACAATTAAATAAAGATAACATTCTATACATTCTTTAGATAAAGATAAGTGCAAAAAAGTTTTTTAACTATACACAATTTGCGCTAAATGTAATAATATTAGGTGTTGGAATTAATTCGTAGCGTTTTTTAATGAAAGAATGTTATTTATTTCACATGAGCATTAAAAAATACATTAATGAAAGTACTTCCCATCACTTGTAAAACGCTACGAATTAATTCCAACACCTAATATATACACAAGAAGGAAACAGTTTTGCTGAAGTATCTAAAAATTTAGTTAAATATAGATATGAAAATAATTTTGGACCATAAAAATAATTATGTAGAAAAACTAATTGTTATGATGTTAAAACGTTTACAGTGTTGCTATCAACGCTTAAGCGTTCTACAAAATTATTTTGGGCCAAACTAAATTATTTTCAGATCTGGAACTAGTTAAATTTTGAGACACTTTAACAAAACTATTGTTTCAGTATAAATAGCACTTATATTTAGTGAATGTATAAGATTGAGGTATCTTGCATATCCCACGTGAATAATGAAATATTAATTCATCCGTTATGAATATAACAAATCTATATTCAGAACTATCTTTACGTGTTTAATGACAGTTCGAATAGCTAAATATCTTATCGTAATAGCGAACATACGCAAATGGATGCTCGTACATCACATTCGTAATCGGATAAAAAGCTAACGACGCGACGCATACAAGCCGCATAATCAGTTAGGATGTGATCCTAGCACGAGCGAGCGGCGAACCGAGTATCATAGAAATGGATACAAAGGGGCCATCAGCAGCCACGGTAACGAGCCAGCCGACCTACCCATCCCATCGTATCCCCCATTGTTATCGCTCTTCGTGGCGCATCAGCGCCAACTCAAAAACACGCTCTCCCGACAGTTAAGCCGTGCACATTCGCGCGTCTAATTCCGCGAATGTGGCCAGCGGCAGGTACTCAACTACTCAGCAGGCATGCACGTGCTTACTCGTGCCCTCCTGTCTCTTTCTCTCTGTCTCTCTTTTACGGCTTCTCCGCGTCTCTCCCACGTCTCAAACAATAAAAGGAATACATGGTGTAAAGCAGATAGCAAACGCGCGCTTGCTCTCTTCAGGGTGGAAACGTTTTAATAAGCAGACGTGCGTTGGCCTTTCCGAGGGGGCGTATAAATATATTCGGTTGCTCTAGCGAAAGTATACTTTCGCATTGCGAAAGAGTGAGAGACGTGATACAGAGAGACTATGAGGGACGGAGTGGTGTACCGGGGGCGGATATATCGGTGAGATGACGAGGGGTAAGGCGGGGGACGGCGGGCGTGGTAGAACGAGAGGCAAAACATGTTGCGGCACGAGCTGCCTCGAGAGCTCCGCGGAATTAGCTTTATTATAACCTGGGGGCCATCCATACATGCCTAACAGCGCACGAACATTCGCCGGCCAATAAGCCAAATGCTAACCAAACATTTTCGCGACTCGGCACACCCTACAATTCATCCCTTCCTCGCGTCCCTCTGTACCGCCGAGAGGTTCAGCAAGGAGGATCGATCCTGATTAAAGCGAGATGTGTATTTAACGTAACTATCAACTGATGACTCAAATTGATGACGATCATTTGCCACATTTAATGTTTTATGATTTCGCTTTGGACAAACGAGGCATATTTTTAATATATACAGAATGTCCCAAAATTGATGATAAATATTTTAAAACACATTTTTTGACAAAACATTTTAAGATAAAAAGTCTAGTATGAAAATGTGAAGGCTGTGATAGTTTTCAAATAGGAAAAATTAAAAAATTACAACTATCGAGTCTAGAATTTCATGTATTCAGAGATGGTCAATGTGAAGATGTTTTCTCAAACTTGATGTTTTTGACAATAACAAACTTCAAAATACCTTCACACTTGATCATCTTACCATTTCTAAGTGCATGAAATTCTAGCTCCGTCATTCGTAATTTTTAAATTCTCTTTTTAATTGTGAAAACTATTAAGTTTCGACAATTTCGTATTAGACTTTTCATTTTGTAATGTTACAAAGAAACTGTCTTCGAAACATCTATTGTCAGTTATGGGACACTCTGTATACAAAAGAGAATTCTATTTTTCTATTTCAATTGTATAAAGTTTACAGAAAATTAAAGACACGATTTATTGTGATTCTACTTAAGTCACCAAGACTAATACAAGATGCATCGAAGAATTAAGCGCATCTTCACTGCGGCTGCAGGGAAG